GGTTTTATGTCTCATCATCTCAAGAATGTCCCTGAAAATTACCTCACACTGGGAAGTTAAAAGGGTCTTTTGGTAAAGGCTTGTCACAAATGCATGGGTGCAACACTGGATTTGTTTCTGCTCCAATTCTAAAATCTTTTTTAGAGTAGGTCATGGTAATTGCATTATGTTGACTTAGTCGTACCTGACTTTTGCGTGGGTCAGGTTTTTTTGTGTTGTAATGGAACTGCAGAAATTGAAATTCATTTGATTGGATGGTGTTTGTTTACAAGTACTTATTTTGGGTTGAGATCACAGAAGAAGATAATGCTGTTAGGTGCTTAAGGGAAAAAAATTAAAGGAGTCATCAAAACCTGACTCCTGCTGGTAGGAGGAAGGTTCAGTTTCAGGGAGAGAGCAGTTCGTAGGGAGACTCGCTTCTTTTATGTGGTAAGAAGAGATGGGTTCTGGAAGGAGGAGGGGGGAGAATGATGTCAGCCTTTTCCTGCATCCTACTGTTAGTGTGCTCCAAATGATGGAGTTTCTGCACATTCTTTTAATGCAAGTGTGCCTTGAATCCATTCTAATCCATTTCAAATGTAGATGAGTTTGTGTTATTTTGGCAAATACATCCTCTCTATAGGTCCCTCTGGTCTTTGTCATGTTTTCAAAGATGTCATTGACTGTACCAGAATGTTTTTCATTGTCAGCAATAAATTATTTTTTGGCATTAGTTGCAGGGGAGGGAGCAGTACCTGTTGTCAACAGTCTTGGTAAGGAGTGGATCATTTTTCTAATACAGGTGTCTTTAGCATATGATAGAAAGTAGGCGCTACGTGTCAGAAATTAAATAGAAAATCCCACCATAACACAAGTGCAACAAATTCTGAGATGCATTTTGAAAGTACAGGGAGGAAATATTCCGTGTTATTTTGACAGTGTGCTGCACAAGTACTAGTGGAACATGTGGACATGCCCACTGTGATTGCAGGAGAGATTTTTGTGCTAATAGGCAAGACAGATGTGCGTTAGCACAAACTCGCCAGTGCAGTTATGGCACACCTGTTTCATCCAAAGTTGGTTTATTTTAACATGCTTGTTACAACCCATGCGGCGCATCTCACGTCGGGGCTTGCATTAACGTAACTATTCCAACAGGACACTTCTTGATGCCAGTAAGTCGTAAAATCTTTGGGATTTATTCATGGAAGGAAATGTAAGTTTTCATTTGATTTGTGCAGCTCCTTCCTAATGTGAAATGCCAGTGCAGCAGAGTTTGATTCAGACGCAGAGACTGGAATTGAGTGTCCAGGAATCAGGGAATTAGCTTCTGGCAGGAATTTGCACATGTTCAAAACAAGGAACACAGTTAAACCATGTGCTGAAGTCCTGCTCTTGATCTCTGGAAGAAATGCAGCATATTGCAAGTTGAGCTAGCCCCTTAGATGAAGTTGCGCATCCATTTTTTTTATTCTCTTCAGGCTATATGCTCCTTTTGGTTTTGTTTTGCCTTATTGTGAATTCTAAACACTTAAAGGAAATGTGCTGACTGAGAGGCCGTTTTCCGTTGCTCCAGCATTGGCTTATAGAATGATACTCTCACAGTGAAGAACTTGCTTTATCCTTCGAAGTCATCCAGTGAATTTGATCTACTTGGATTCTTTTAGGCTATATTAAAAAGAAATACAGAGCAAATACAAGTCTTCCGGAGGTTGTTGAGTGAAGTAAACTCTATAAGCGGCACTCGTTTTGCTCATCAGCTGGGTTACGAGTGTAAGAGCTGCAGCAACCGCTTTAATGTGGTTTGAACCCATTGTTTTCTGCTTCTGTCATTCTGTGAAATAGTGGTGTTTGGATTCTTTAATGATGGCAAGTTGTGTTAAAACAGATAAATCTTGTACATTAACACTTGCTGCGAATTATTGCTTACTTTTAAGGCTACGCTTTCCCTTTTACTGTTTAACACTTTGTAACAGCACCACTGCAAGTTAGAAGAGAATCTTCTTGGTACAAGAAGATCTCCAAGCAGGCTGCAGAGCACAAGCTCCCTGTGGTTTGTCAGCGCACATCTTGAGAGAGGAGACTTGTAGCTGTGTGAACCTGCTGCAGGATTTTTTACTGAAGTTCTGTAACGCCTTGCTCTCTAGGCCTGGCATTGAGGTCCTTGATTTGGAAGGATTTGCTGTATGTTTCTTTCCCTGGGCTCTGCGTGTAGTTAAGGTTGTAGTTAAGTTTCCAGGATGGTTAATAGCTGATGCGTTACCGGTGCTTTCTGAAGGTGAGGTGTCCTCTCTTGATCTCCGGTTTGCAGACGTGAAGTTACTCGAGCGGAGTGATTTCACTAATTCTCCATCAGGCCCAACAGTTGGACCTCACAATCTCTCTGTGCAATGGATGGTAAAAGGATACCTCTGTACTTCAGTTTCAGCCACCTGCAGAATGTAACAGCGCAGCAGCTGCTGCTGGTCTGGAACACCACCGGTCAGCATCACACAGTGCTAGAAACACCTGGAGTTGGGGGAGGACTTTTCCATTAACTCTTCTAGTTAATGGAAATTTAGTATGTACAAGCTATGAGATGGCATTGCAGAGGCTCTGACAAGAAATGTGTAACTTTTAATGACTGCCTGTGAAGAGGGAAGGCTTCTTTCCTTTGAAGTAGCAGCTCCTCTGTGGTGTTTTGGATTCGTGCACTGTTAACTCATTGCTTTCAGACCCAGCAATTCTCATGTGTTGCTTGGTGATTTTCATCTCAGCCACTTGGATACCTCGCTTGGTGTCTGTCTGGGATGTGGCATAGAACATCTAGCAGAAAATATATTCAGCATTATAAGGCTCTGTGAAATGTTAATATTTCACATGTTATTTGCATACTTTACGACTGTGATATGAGAACACAAATAATAATATGGTCATTTGCCTTGCTCTCTTGTCTGGAGAGCTCCTGAAATAGGAAGCTGAGCGACATTGAAGATGCTAGCTGCATGTAGTTTCTTTGTGAAACACATTGACCGTTTTCAGAATGCCATTTGAGTGAGAACACATCTAGCTTGCTGGAGTTTTGAAATGGGTGGGAGAAGTGGATTGTGAGAGTAATGAGTGCTAATGTGTTTATCCTTATTCCTCAGGGTCTTCTCTTTTTTTTGTTGTTTATTTGATCTAAATGTCTTGGAATACTTCAACCAAAGACAACTAGGTCTATGCTGGATACTAAATGTCATGTGCAATGGTGCACTTTCCTGGTTGTATGGAGTTAGGCTAACATCAGTACGTTATGGTCGTTATTCTGCTCCTGAATCTGTAATCTTCAGGGTTAGGAATCAGGCCTATCTGCTAGGCCATCTGAATGACTAAAATACTGTATTGTAAGATCTTAGTACCAACCCTGAACTTTCTTGAAAGGAAGTATATACATATTTTGGAATTAATTTTCCGCATGATGTTTGCAATGACTGTAATGAAGTGACACATTGATGTAGAAAAGTCTCAGATCTCTTTGACAACATGAGACATTATCAATAGATAATGAAGATGTTTGTCTTATTTTTTTTATTTACTGTGCTACTTCTGCTACAATTATTAGTATTTTAAGCAAACTTCAAGTCATTGAGTAAGTGAGCTTTACTTTCACTAAATATGATTTCTCTTTATTAAAGTTGCAGATCTTACTCTTGCCATATGCAGCTAATTTTCCTTTGGGGGGAAAAAAGCTTGTTACTTTTTTAGTGGAGCAATCTGTTACCTTGTCTGTAGTCTGTGAAGTCAGTGCAATTCTAATTTGCATCAGCTAATAAAAAATGTGTGGGTTTTAAAGTGAAAATCATGCAAAAATTAAAAAAAAAAAAAAAGGTGAACTAACGACTGATCGTCTATGCAAAAAAACAAGGCTAGGAATGTGATCAAATTAGGTCATGGCAGTGCAGTTTTGTGCAGGGCTGCGAGCATATCTGCAGACCTTGTATGATTTATCTTGGGAAGCAAAGCTTTTGGAAAATGTGCATAAGAGGGATGAAGAGAGCTTTTTTCATCCTCCTTTTCTGAGCTATCATCAGGAAAGCAAGATTTTATGTTGCATTAAGTGACAGAAATTTTAACTTAAGCTAAAAACTGCGCAGTTCATATAATTGTTCTGGTGCAACCCATTTGCAGAAGAAAGTCACAGTTGGTTTTGTGTGATCTGCTATACAGTGAAGTAGTTAATGCTTTTATTATATATTATTGCACTGCGCACACACGATAAGAGGTCCTGTTGCGAGAAGCTTGCAACCAAAGTGAATGAAAGGTCCACTAGACAGAGGTGTACGAAGAATTAATGAGATAACATTGATTAGTGTGGGCTGTGTGAGAACACCATCAGACAACTGATGCTGTTGACTGCAGATGACATGGAAGGAGGATGAGGAGGGCTAGTATGAAGAAGGAAAGTGGGTAGGGGTTGTAACTGGAGTTCGGTAAACTTTGATACTAAAAGGATAATTTTTGTATATGAAGAAAAGGGTGGAAGATATTTGAGGTGAAAATATTGCTTGTAGTGTGAAAGGATGGAAATAAAAAGAAAAAAACACCAAGCAAAAAAACCCACCAAAAAAATAGGTTGGGAGGAGCTAAATGCATCCTGAAGGTTTTTCCTGGCATCTGGCTCCCACGGGGAGATGTTGAGCAGTCGGGCAGAAATACCTGCTGTAGCCTTTGCATCCATTCTTGTTCCATGGCAGGAGCAGACACGCGTAATACTTAGAGAAGAGTTTAGACCATTTCTTCAGGGTTTACTCCAGAGTTTACTCTCATTTCTCCTGTTTTCCATAAAATATCGTCTGTAACCTTTTCCTCATCTGGCAGAAGCAAACTCTCCCCACCCCAACCTCTGGAAGACTGTCTGATAATGAAAGAAAGCACACTTCAGGGCCTTTTCTGGCATAACTGCATTAAAATGTAGCATTCCAGCACAGGTACAAAGTAAAAGTAAGTAAACCTCTCACTTCTACTCTTTGCAACTAATAAGAAATCCCATATTTCTAAAGGGGCAGCGGGTTTTGACACACGTGGGCACGCAAGATTATGAATAGTGAAGACAATGAAGAGCGGGACGTCCATCAAAGAGTGACAACCTCTTATAAGGTAATTCAGGAACACACTGAATTTATTCTGTTGTGCTTGAAAAATCAATTAAGTAGTCTTTTTTCATAGCACTATACAATCATTATAACCAAGAACGTATAGGTGCATTTTTCACCCTCCTTTACTTCATTTTGTTTTTTTACTTGCATGGAGAAAGCCAATATGTAGCAATCCAAATGCATACTGTGTTCTGAATGAGATTGATTACAGTTGCAAAACATTAAATATTAAGTGCCAAATGGCTAATGACTTCCAGTAGCCTTCCTTTCATTCTCCAGAGATTGATGGTGTAAGTGGGGATTTGCGAACAGGAATTTTAAATGATCTGTGGAGCAGAAGTGAAAATGTGTTCAAACCTGGTGTGTACCTAAAATTATCCTGAAACTTTTAGTGTTACAGTTAAGTATTCTTGTAATTTGAATTTCGTTGCTTGCCATAGGGGTGAGATAGAAGAGTAGATATTTACAGAAACTGCGCAAGTGATAAAAGGGGCTGCTTATGCCTGACTTTGTCTTCTGCTTTGTATGTTTTAGTACTTATGTACTTTAGTACTAGCTAATTTGAATAAGCTCTGCTAGTCACATGCAACATATGGGGCCAGTGCCAACTTTTTATAATGCTGCATTACAAATATACCCACCAGCTGAGAAGTGTGATATAAAGAGCTTTGCTTTTTCTTAACCAACTGTCTTCATAGATATTTGCAGGGGGGCTTCTGCTGTCCCTTTAACTGATAAATCCCTTTTCTCTTTATCCATTTAGTCTTCCCATCTCTTTCTGTAGCCTTTTGAGCAACTAGTTGGACCTTAATATTGAGGATCACATAAGATCTTGCAATTATTAGTCTTTGACAAGAAGGGACTGTAAAAATGGCAGTAGAAGGCTTGGTCATATAAACTTGTGATCAGATATTCTCAGTTTAAGAGAAAAGTTTTTGTACACATTCAGAAAGTAGGGCTAAGGGGGCATGCTCTAATTTTTTTTTTTTTTTGAAGGATCACCTCCTGACTAATACTTATTGTCAGTCAGGTTTTACTATCAGTTTTCAGCTGTAAATCCAAAGAAAGATCTTGTTCTTGTAGTTGGAATTTCATTAGCAGTATTATTAGTGGTGTAATCCAGAATGAAGTCAAGCTTACTGTCTTATAGGTGAGTGTGTTCCAACGTGCTAATTGGAGTGTAGAAAAGAGCTTAGCAAAAGCTTATTAGAGTCAATAGAAATACTTCCATTGTTGCCAGATTAGCCAAGTTTGATTTTGGAATATGCTGCAAAAGCGGAACTATTGAGTTAACGGTTGCCAGTTTGTAAATGCCCTTTTCTTCCAGCGTCAGATAATGGAGTTCATACTGTAAAACAAAACAAAGCCAGTACCTAAGCCACGTATAACCTATTGAGCTAAAAAGTCGTCTTTTATAACCCTAGGCTGAAATCGTGATTGTTGACATTTATAAATGCTTCAGCTTACCATGTATGGCAAAGACTGGCATTTGCTGGATGTAGTTTTCATATTGGCAATGTAAGCAGGGTCATTGTAGCTACCTGTTAATTGTGAGTCATTTATCTGCTTCTTGGAGAGGTATAAACTTCATTCCAACGGGCACAACTAGGTTATAGAAGAGTGAATAGATAGCTATGCCTTTATCTGGAAAGATGGCAGTGATTGATGTTTTCACTTTTGTCTGGGTGTTTATCTGGATCCCGGGAAAACAAGTACCCAGTGGGATGCAGGGAGTTGATTGCCATCTCTTTCAGATGACCTATGAATCATGAGGATCTGGAAATCCTTGTGATACTTACATAAAAGAAGATTTAGGTGATGATGTGGGTTAACATCCTAATAAAACAAAGTTGCTGTAAATTTTGCTTAAAATTCATGTTCATCTTAAGAACTTTTCCTTGTACTTTAATCTTGAGTAACCTTACAGGAGCTTAAATACATTTTTCCTTCTCTTTATCTTCCAGAGCTGTGTTAATACCCATTGCAACAAGTTTTGAGTGTATTTTGAGACTCCTGTTGCTCAACATTGCCTTTCTAATACCCTGCTCTTTTTCTCTTTCTTCTAATATTCCTTTCTGTTCTAGGAATACCCATTAATGGGCTACAATATACAATGTATTTGAAAATGTGAACACTTAACTGACGTCATATACTGTGGAAGAAATCCCTAAACACCTGTATTTTTTTTTTCTTGTCCCCAGCTGGGTAGCTATAGAGCTGCAGATGGGTACAGTATAGTCCTTCTGTCCTTCCCAATGTACGCTTGTATCTAGGCTCTTTGACTATGGCTATTTCAGATAGCCTTTTGGCCCGGCTCTCTCGTATACTGTAGCAAGGAAATTAGAAATGGAATTGTTCTGGTATATGTTCTCGTGGTGTTTGACAGGGCTGTATTAACTGTACTTACGTGTTTTCAGGTCTCGTACGTTATCATCTTTGTGTTTTATCTTTGGAATGCTGGGGTTCTTTGCAGTCTTTGTCTGCTAGTAAAGATGTCCACAAGCCAAAATACAGACAGTAGACTCTAATTAAGAAAAAAAAAAAAAAAAAAAGGAAGGGGAAAAAAAAGATAAAGTTTTCAGTTTGAAGATTAGTGTTACTAATATTCATGTGCAGTAGGTCACAGGAAAAGATTATCTTAGTAAGATGAAAATATTTTTGCTGAAGCTTAGAGATGATGCATTTCTAGAAAAAAAAAAAAAAGAATATCATAGTTCAGTTGCTCTAGGAATGCATTGCTGGTTTATGCAACAGTTTAGATCATCTATTTAACCAGTATCTCTGGAGTTAGTGATATTAACCATGTTGTGATTTTTTTAAATGACTTGGGTTTTGGAGATTTTTTTTGTTTTGCTTCTTGCTCAGGTGCTTCAATTGTGGACTGTTTGCTGTCATTTCTGAAGAAAACGTTTACTGCTTATAATGTGTAAGTGTCCTTTTCTCTTGCAGACCAGTGATGTGAACTGTGGACTACGATTTTGCTAGCAACAGTGGGATTGTTTTTTAACCTGTGTATAAGGTGGCTTTGGTCTGCATATGGAGAGTAAATCTTAGCATTGCTTTTCATTAGTACTGACATTTTTTCCAGAGATCTCTTTCCTGGTTGCAATCCTAATTTATTCATGCTTCATATTGATTCAAGGTAACCAGTGTGACCTCATGACACTTCTGTAAAAGCCAGATTCAGCTAGGATGTTACACCATCACTGTCGAAGAAACCCTGAGCTACAGGAAGAGTTGCAGATTCAGGCTGCAGTTGCTGCTGGCGATGTTCACACCGTGCGCAAGATGCTGGAGCAAGGATATTCTCCAAACGGTCGAGATGCCAATGGCTGGACTTTGCTTCATTTCTCTGCAGCAAGAGGAAAAGAGAGATGTGTCCGTGTTTTTCTTGAACATGGAGGTGAGTTGCCTAGAGAGAAAAATCTTGATACCCATCTCACAGCTTTCTATCACAGTTTCCTTTGTAGGGCTTTTCAGCACTGGTTAAGTATCAGACTACTTCTGTTTTGGTTTTTGTTTGTTTGTTTGTTTTTTTATTTCTTTGGAGTAGTACTTCATCTACTTCATCCCTGTTTCCTTCTGCTGCATACTCTGTGAATGCAGTAATAAATTAGCTTTGTATCTTAATGCCTTCCTTTTTTTTTTTCCCCCAGGATTGCCTAGGAATTGTTAAAAGGATGAATAAGCTTTATGAAAATAGGGCAGAAGGGCTCATTATAAAATTAAATGCACTCACAGCACTTGCTATAGGCTTTTCTTCTCTGTTAGGGGGTATTATTAGAGGAAGTCAGGTCCTTGAATTGAAATCCTAGGGAAGTTTGTCACATAATTCTCAAGCAAGTTAACAAGTCGCATTAAAGATTAAGTTTCCATGTAGGCGTTAATACAGTGTGCTAAACTTTATGAAAACAGTAGTCTTTGTGCAAGGACTTTAGTGTCAGCTAGTCCAGTTGAATTTACATCTCTTCTGCATCCATCTGTAGTGAAGCTTTATTTCAAGAACAGATTGAGTTTTATTGGTTTAAGCGATATACTTGCTTGGGTGAGGATATTATTACCCCTCAAATGGTACAGTCAGAATTTCTTTTTGCTGTATCTTCTTTCAAAGCCACCTGAAGTTTTAGAAATAGGTAGTCTTAATCTTTTAATGTGATACTGGAGAGGAAAAATAAAAATCAGTAGATGTTTTCCGTATTAGTGCTCTTTAAGAACAGCATCCTCTATTTTAGGACTGTTCTTATCAAATGAATTATGAACTAAGATGTTTTCAGTCCCAAGGAAACTGAAATTATCTTTTTGATGCTTTGTGTGAGGCCATATGGGCCCCTTATGTGTATCATAGTATTTTTCAGATGTGTGGATCACACTTAAAATTGAATGGCATTAATAGACTGTGGTATTTGCACAGTTAGTAGTATTTTCCTTAAGAGCAGTAGTGAAATAGAGCCTGAACAACTGGACCCCGTTGAGATACCTACTGTAGATTCTAACCACCTAATATTGGCAAACCCTCATGTCCTTATTGGAAAGGGGAAAAAAGCTACTAAATTGTATTAAATAACTTTAAATTTTATTTTTTAAATGTAATATATGTGGATAATCCCAAGCCTTCAATTTAGGCTGTAAGTCTTGAAATACGTTGGTTTTAACTCTGTAAACTTCAGGATTATCTGAAAAAAAACCTTTCTGTGTTCCTGTGTATTTTTGTTGTATAGATTTTGATGTTACATAGCTGCTGGTGCAGTGGTTTGTTTTTATTTTTGTTGTTACTCTTTCCTGTATGAAGTACCAGCTGAATCTGATGCCTTGTGAAAACTGCCTGTAATGAAAACATTTTTGTTCTGGAAGCAGTATAGCATTTAATCACCAGGACCAAAAAGTTGAGTAACAAATAGTGTGAGGGTTAGTCATCTACGGCAGCTTTTCTGTAGCTAAGCCTCGCTTCAGAAAATTGGCACAGTTTTGTGCCTTGCCTTGTTTTCCCTCAAAACAGAGGCATAAAAGATAATGAGTATTTAAAACATAGTAATGTTAGAAATGAGCTATTAACCGGTGAACGAGCTGACTCTTAAAAGCCACCTTAATCATGCCTGCCTCATTAGTGAGAGGCTTGTGTCTACCTTTCTTCACACAGTCTCCACCTTCTTCCCTCTTAAGAAGTGGATTGTTTTGATGTTGGAGCTTAATCCCTGTGGACCAAAATTATATTGTGGTGAAGGAAAAAGTCATTTTCTGGTGTGAATCTTATGGTAAACAGAGTGTTGAACTGACTATGTAAGAAGATAGAGGGAGTGGATGGAGTTCTGGAGGAAAGAGGGAATGGAGATGTTAGAGGAAAGGAAAGGAAAACTGGTGATAGTTGTGCCTGTTCAGAGGGATGATGAAGCTTAGCAGAGCTGAAAATATTTTCATAGTACAGGAATGAGAAAACCTCTCTGGGCTGTTGCTGAGGGTAGAGTGCTGTGGCTCAGATCTGAGATGCTGGAAGAGAACTGACATAGACTTGAGTGGTAGTGGGATGGAGATGGAGTTTGGCTAAAAAAGGCTGAGAAGGAATCTGGTCACTGACTTGGAAACAGAAGGTATCTTCTTATGGGAGTCATATCCTGGCTGCCTCCTGCTTGTTTTTTTTTTTTCTTCTCTTCCATCATTGCACAACAGCAAAGAAAAGAGCCAGGGTACAGCATTGTGCGTACAGATTGGCTGATTTGAGTGGAGGTAGTGGAACAGGAGGAAGCTTTTTATTATCTGCTGAGCAAGGAGACACAGATGCGTTAAAAACCCAGTCCAGACTAAAGGATGAGGCCAGCAGAAATACCAACTAGATACAGAGGTAATAGGTTAGATAAATATTCCTTAGCAAGTGATGAAATGCAGAAAGTTGATCAGAATCATGGAGAAACTTATTTTTAAGGAAAAATAGTGAATTTTACTTTCTTAGTGTGTTTGTCTCATTTTAATAAAGTGAAGATTCTATGAAGCCAGCTCTTCCCATCCATAGAAAAAAATCTATAGAGTCACAAAGCTCAACAGGAAAGCAACACAAAAGCAGGGAGTGTTGTTTTCAGTAAAATTGGATTTTTGCATAGCAAGCCTTTTTTTTTTTTTTTTCCCCCCTTTAGTGTACTTTTTTTGCTTCCAAAATGACATATTGAGACAGACAATCCAATGCTGGACAAGAACTATCTTGTATTAATCCCCAGCCACCACTGGGGTGGTAGTTACAACCAGCTGAAGTCTTGGAAATGTGTAGTTGCTAGCTGTCCCTTGGTGATATTAATACTAACGGAGCAGGACAGTTTCGGGTTATTTGTATTAAAGTGAAGAAGTGATTCACTAAAGCTCCTAGAAATTGAAGAGTAACAGAAGGAAGCAGCCAAACAGACATATTTATTTATATTGAGTCTTGGCTGCAAGGTATCTAAGTTTTAGTAAGGTCACACAGAATCCAGGAGAAACTAGAGAACGCCAAATGCTCATCCCCCTAACCCAGCTCATAAAGTGTTTGAACAGTAATGCTTTCCCGGAGGTCTTTTGTATCAGTGTTTTCCTAGAAAATTCAAACCAGAAGCTATATGTAGCTGTGTTTCTAAACCTTGTGGTCAGAATTAAGCCCTAGTTGGGGGAAGTGAGCTTAGCAGAAGTACTTTATGAAGCCAGAAGCATTGCTTTCTTGGCTTCCCAGCTTGGACCTTGATAGAGTGACCTAATGAAGGTGTCAGGAAAGAAGGGAAACTGTCCCAGTGAGCTATAAACTGTAACTCTAAAACATTAGACTCTTGTTTAGGAATCTATCTATCCTCTAGGCTACAGTATTAGGAAAGAGTTTCTTTAACAGTAGAGTTTAAATGACTAGCTTAGGTGCCCAACTTTAACATGAAATAAAATAATCTGAATATTGTTCAGTGTTGCAAATTTTCAATCTCAAGAGAGACTGATTGCAGTAATTTGGTACCTTGATAAGTAGTTCAAGGTTTATGCCACTGTATTACACCTTATATTTAAGAACATTAGAAGTGACCAAATGCAGCTCTTCCTGCTTCTAGATTCTGCTATACCCAAATTCATGGGAAACTTGAGAAGAAATAACTATAATTGATTGACAATCAGGATGGAGGCAAAGTAAAGAAATGATGGCAAGAGCTGGCTTCATCCCTTCCTATTTAAATACGCTTGTACCACATCCTTTTTTTTTTTTTTAACTCCTCTGCAGTTTCTGAAAGGTAAGCAAAGGGAATTCTTTCCCCATTCATTTCTACCTTGCTTGTGTTCCAGGGGAGAGAGTTTACAACATGATACCAATGCTGAAGCCTTTTAAAAAACAAACAAACCCCACAGCAACCCAAGTTCTTAAGGCACCATCAACTTTGCAGCATTACTTTTACTAAGAAGACAGGGGCTGAACGGATGGAAATTGTGTGCAACGTAATGCAGGTCCAACTTCTGCTAAAAGCCCTTGTGAAGTTCAGAAGTTTTCCAGGAGATGGCAGCAAAACATTGACTGAGTGGCAATAGGGTTTTTCCTGTTCTTGGGGAGGCACTTCTCTTACATGACTTAGTATTTTTTATTTTTGGTTCACTTTAGTGGTCACAAGAAAGGAAGGTTGTGGAGTAGGGAAGGCACAGAAAGATCCTGAAAACTATAGATAAAGGCCATCCTTATTTTTCAAGTAAATTGCTGGGTTTGGATTACAACTTGTATAAAACTGCATATACATGGACACACAAAAGTTGGGGCATATCAAATTGAATTTGGTTATAGCATAGACTAAACAGGGTAACAGCAGTATCCTGCACCTCGGTTTTGGGGTAGAAATTATTCACTTGCCTGCCCTGTGCATTGTGGAAGAGAAAAGGCAAAACATGATTTTTGATTTTTTTTTTTTTTTTTTCCTGGGAAATCCTGGCTGCTGTGGTCTCCTTTCCAATTTTTTTTTTTTTTCCTGGAAAATCCTGGCTGCTGTGGTCTCCTTTCCGTTATATCCATCTTTTTCCTTAATTCTGCCTCTCAGAATGTATCATCCCTCTGCATCTTAATTCTCATGTTTATGCTACTCACTTTATCACCAGTCAGGAGATAATCTAGAATAGTCTGAGCAGTGCAGAGAAAGAGACCCAGGGAGCAGCAAACATCTCTTTGAAATAGTATCTTTGTCTTTACTGACTCTGTGGGTTGTTCTGATTCTGTGCCTTGTATTTGAACATCACACAGTGTAGGTTAGGAACTACCTACTTGGTCCCTGACTTCATTTTCGTGACAACCTGTGGATGCTTCAGCAGTTATCTTAACTCAGGTTAGTGTAACTTTACAGAGTGCTGAAACTTCTGCTTTTCACAGAAGACTAGGCTGTCAGTGCTAGGAGACTAAACTTTCCTCAATATTTCTCTTGTTATTTCTAGGTTCCAATTCTGTGCACTAGAGGCAGTTCTCACCTTTTATTTCTCTGTGTAGTCAGTCTGCATTACTTTGTATATTGGATTTTTGTTTTCTTCCCCTCACTTTTCATTGCATTACTTTGTATATTGGATTTTTGTTTGTTTGTTTTCTTCCCCTCACTTTTCACTTTACATTTAAAAAAATCCTTAAAACTGCTGGATTGCCTTTGCAGCTGTATTCTATACTGTCTCTTGCCAGTCCTTTTATTTTTGTATGATGTCTGTTATGGTGTCTGATCTGGATATGGTCACAGTAAGTCCATTCCAGTCCTTTTATTTTTGTATGATGTCTGTCATGGTGTCTGATCTGGACATGGTCACAGTAGGTCCATATTGGGAAGCTTATTCCTGTTGTTTTGCATGAGCACCTTTGTGTGTTCAGACTAAACCAGCTTACAATTTATGTTATATTTTGAACTTAACTTACAGCAGGTCTGAATTTTGAGATGCAAACTGGCGTCTCCCACACGCTTCCCCTCTCCTGTTTGAGTACGATGGCAACCAAGCAGAAAACTCTGCCCTCTCTGCAGGGTACAGGAGAGCAAGTGCTCCTCCTGAGCATTGTGTGTGAGCTTTGGGTGTTCACTGTCTTCAGCCAAGTTTGTTTTAAACATACACGGTCACAACGTCCTATTCCTTCCTCCCCCCCCCCCCCTTTTTTTCCTTCCTCTAGGCCACTGCTACTTTCCTTCTAAATGCAGTATGTATAGGTGAGGAAACTGCAAATAATTCAACGTGCCAGGATGAAAGGACGGGGCATTCAAGGTTGTGGAAGGTGGACAGATACCCTGGTGCTTGTCTGCACTTCGAGATGATGTGCTTTGTGCACAGATGTTGTATGATTCCAGAGCAGAGAGCAACACAGGGAACTGTGAAGGACAGACCCCAGCAGCTGTTTCACTAGATACACAGGAGTATTCAAAACATATCAACTTAAGGGCAGTGACTTTCTTTACCACCTAGAAGACTGAGGTTAGGAAATGCCTTGAATTTCCCAACTGTAGTTTATACCTTTTAGCATCTGACAGGCAACATCTATGGATGGTGGAAGGAGAAACCTCACAGCCTGGCTTGCTCTCTAGCTGAGAAATGGTAATGAGGGAGGCGCCTTTCCTGCGGTAATTAATTTGGTACATGGGAATAGTTGCTTGCTTTAGAAGTCTGGGTGTATTGAGGAAATTAAATTAAGTAAATTAATTTGATGATTTTAATGTTTAAATTCATAAATCAGACTGTGTTTTTGTGCTCTGTTGGGGGGGAAATCTGTGTAATCACTTGTGTTCTGGACTAATATTTTTCCTGACTCATTCCCTAAGTGGATGCTTACATTCTTATAAAATCTTGAATTTTTGTAAAACTATAAATTCAGAACAGATTCATCATCTACAAAAACAGACTTTATCAAGATAATCTAAAATAACATATATCCTGCATGCTTTGGAAATCCTGCAGACCACAGAGAAACATTTTACCTAATACAGTATTACACCCTAAAAACAGTACAATGCTGCCAGACCACAAAACATCCGCAATTTGGGACAGCAGATGTTTCTACACATGCTTCTTTTTAAGACCGAGAAGCAACACAAGGGAAAATAAAAAAGTTGAACATTGAGAAAGAAATGTAATGTTGTAGAGCTGGAGGAGAACTGGATGGACAGAGAGATTTGAGTAATTAGCCTAAGAGTGCTAGGAAGATGTGGAAAACAATTTGCCAAAAGGAAGCATATGTATATGAAAGCAAGTCTTTTTTTTGTGTAACTCTTTCTTAAATATAATGTAACTTTTTCTTAAAAATAGCATTTTCATGAAAGCAAGAGTTAGTTGCAAGTACAAAAAATCCTGTCATACTATGCCTGAAAAAGACTAACATTCAACCGTTTGATTTTTTTTTTTTTTTTTTTTAGCACCGGATTACTGTAATGCCTTCTAATTATTCTTTAATTTTATTTTAACTTCAGCTGATCCCACAGTTAAGGACTTAATTGGAGGCTTCACTGCTCTGCATTATGCAGCCATGCATGGCCGAGCGAGGATTGCACGCTTGATGTTGGAATCTGAGTATAGAAGTGACATTATTAATGCAAAAAGCAACGATGGTTGGACTCCCCTCCATGTAGCAGCCCACTATGGCAGAGACTCATTTGTCAGACTCCTGTTGGAGTTCAAGGCTGAGGTTGATCCGCTCAGTGATAAAGGTACTACACCGCTTCAGCTGGCCATTATCCGTGAGAGGTCAAGCTGTGTGAAAATCCTTCTGGATCACAATGCCAACATCGACATTCAAAATGGTTTCCTGTTACGATACGCTGTGATCAAAAGCAATCACTCGTACTGCCGAATGTTCCTTCAGAGAGGGGCGGATACAAACTTGGGTCGCTTGGAAGATGGACAGACACCCTTACACTTGTCTGCTCTTAGAGATGATGTGCTTTGTGCACAAATGTTGTATAATTACGGAGCAGACACTAACACAAGGAACTATGAAGGACAGACCCCACTGGCTGTTTCAATAAGTATTTCTGGAAGTAGCCGACCCTGTCTGGATTTCTTACAAGAAGTGACAAGTATGTATGTAAGAGAAGTTAATCACAGGACACAATGTCCTCTAAAAGCCTTCTTTGAATTTAGCCCCAGAAAAAAAAAATGCTTCCTCTCTGCCCCTTGATGCTCTTTAAATGCACTAGAAAATTTCTGGGAATGTGATACTGGGAATCTCTTACTTGGCAAAGGTGCTAATGTTAAGTATATCTCACTTAAATTAGTCTCTTACTTGGCAAAGGTGCTAATGTTAACTAATTTAAATGAGATATACTTTTGTTTAAATATCTACAGGAAGCATTCATTTTAAAAAATGAACTGTAAAATCTCGTTTTATTAATGGCTTTAGCACAGAAGATGTTTGGGTTTTGGGGTTTGGTTTTGTTGTTTGTTTAGTTTTCTTAATGTCTTTTGCTTTTATTTTTTTAATTGCCATGCAAATACTTTGCAGTTGCTGGCTTTTTTCATCTGGCACTACGACTAGGGCAGAAGAGAGCTTTTGCTGCTTTGTGTTCTGCTACATTCTCTCCTTCTCTCTCCTATGCCAGGCAGCAAAATGGCATAGTTCATTTGTGCAAATTGAAGGGGTTTCGTGTACTGTATAGCTTTGATTTGATTTTGTTGGTGTGTTTGAAATATGAAAGATTTTAACTTGTCATGACTTCTGATATTTTAAAAAAGTGTTAGGCTCCTAAAATTCTGATCATTTAACTGGACCTACTGAAAGTTTTCTCTTGTTCTCTCATTCAACATGGAATTCTGTAACAGTGTTTCATAATTATAGTATTGCCTAAAGCATTTAGGAATTGCTGATTAGCAATTAAGCAGCAGTTTGTTAATTCAAACGTGTTGAGATGGCCCGATAAATTATCATCCAACGAGGATGATCTTTGTGCTACAGGGGGTGGGGTATTTCATATATCCTTTTTTCCACTTACAGTTCCTTTTTTTTTTTTTTTTTTTTTTGGATGTAGTATTTTTTAATGAGAATTAAGTGACCTGCAAAGAAACTGAAATTTAATGTGGGCTGGGGGTGAATTAGCTGAGATCGATTGTCGGTAGCTGACTCAAATAAGCATTTGGAATTTCATTTTTGTCTTCATGATTTGTGTTGTTATTTTTGCTTATGTCTGAAATCCAAAGAGGATTTTTGGAAAGGTGGAAGTTGATGATTAGAAATACAAGCAACTACTAGATTTTGTTTTCATTTGCCTACCTCTTCTCATTCAAACACATTTCTTTTTTGTTTCCTTTTTGGGAGCCTCTCGCTATGGAGCAGCTCCATCAGAGTTATTAGTAGATTATATAATTTCCAGACTTGCAATTTTTCACCGCCTTAGGACGTATCAGTAAGCATGAAGGCTTAGACTGCTTCATTGTTTCCCCAGTGTCTAAAGATTAGTTCAGAAAGCTGGAAACAGGTACTGTAACTTACTTTTAGTTTACAGATTTCATACCTTAAGGGTTTAATGTTAAGTGAGAAATAAGTTCTGCTGAAAAAAAAGTGGCTTAAATTTGTGGCCAGTGTTGGAACTATCCCAGTTTTGTGCTGATGGAGGGAGAACTGGGAAAGCAGGGAGGACTAGTGCTGACAAAAACACTTCAGCTTTGGGCTTCTGAGAAAAATTATTATGAATATATATTTACAAACAGCTATAAACAGACTCTGCTGCTCTTATTATAAATATCCAAACACTGTCTTCCCCGGTTTTCCTGAATAATCACTTTAAGAAGATGGCGTGGGAGAGATGGAATGGATAAAGAGCAAGCTGGGATTTTGGTAGCGGAGTTCCCAATTAGATCAGACTGTGGACGGGGAATTGTTGAGATGTCACTCTGTAGCACTTCGGGGAAGAATCTTGTTTCTGAGTCTATTGCACTGTGTATTTACTAGAAGAAAAATTCACTAAATTTTCAGAGAATTTCTCTAGTTGAAATCTTCCTGAAATTCTCTGTTGCGGTTGGTAACAGTGCCTTGGTTGAATTTCTGGTTTGTTTATTTGAACGTTATGCTAAGCGCTTAGTATAGAAATCTGTAGCTGTAAGTTTTATATGTGCATCCGAAGTTTTGAAGAGTATATTTCCTAGTAAAGCAGGAATTAGTATTTACTTTTGCAGTAGATTAAAATTTTTAAGCTTAAAGATGTGAATATGTGAATTACGAAAGTTATCAACCCCATCTGCATCTTCACGTGAAAGTGGTTGCATGCTTCATATAAATGGGATAATATTTAGCCATTTACATGTAAGATATAAGTAGCTATTTTCTGTTATACTCGGAAAACATATTTGTACAGTTTCAGTTCCTCAGAAAACATCATATATGAATTTCTTTTTGTTTCGGTAGGTGTTATAATCGGTAATAATCGCAGCCTTTAGCCCAGGTCCCCAGCGGTGAGTAGCAGGCAAGGAACCAAGCTCTCAGAAATACTCAGTGTTGGCCCTGAGAGTCTGCAAGAAGATAGTGGATTTGGGGGTTTGACCCTGAAGGTCTGATATTCTTCCTGGTTACAGGTAGAGATTCCTTTGCTCCTAGAATAATTCCGAGAGGAAGGAAGTTATTCTGTAGTTGTGCCTCAGTATTTAAGCGCAAAGCTGGAAGTTAGGAACAAGTTTTTTGTCGTGAGTCTGCCATTGACTCGATGTTCAGATGGTCACTCATGTCTGGCAGGTTTTTTCCTCTCTCTTATTTGCAATACAACAATGAGTAAAGTCTCCCTGTAAAAAAACAGTATTGAAGATGAAAACTGCTCATAGTACCTGAGATCATCTGATAGAGAGTTCTTTTGGAGCACTTTGGTATAATGGATCGGTTTTGTGAGATCTGAATCTGCCTCCTCTGGACTAGCAATGGAGTGTATACTCCATTATATACTTGGAGTATACCAATGCAAAATTAAAATAGAGATGCAGAGGTACATATAGGGTTTTGTTTGTTTGTTGTTTTGTTGTGGTTTTTTTTGTTTGGTTGTTTTTTTTGGGTTGTTTTTTTTTTTTGTGGTGGTGTATATGTCTACAGAATTAACGTACAATTGCAGTCCTGGATGGAATAATTTATGTTGAAGCTGAAGATGAATGGGATTTGAGAATACTAAAACTTAGAATGCTGGAGGGAGGAAAAAATGCAAGTATTAGAAAAATACTCAAAGGTTTAAATAAACGTGAAGATAGTAGAAATTAAATTATGATCTCAAAAACGGGGATTAAAAGGTTGAACCCTTCCCACTCCTCGTAGCTCTCATTTAATTTAATCCCTGTTCAGATAACGTCGCAGACAAGAGAGTCAGAGTAGCCGTGCGAGTTGCTTGTCTGCGTCGAGGCAAAGAGCTGCGTAAATGGATATGGCCCCAGTAGTGTAACACGGCATGTATGTGACAGGTATCAAAGAACTAATTTCAGATCTGGAACAAGATCTAAAGGTCACCAAATGAATTAAACTACAAATATTTCATCTGTATTCTTATTTTTTTTTTTTTTTTGAAAGGGCAAATCTTTGGCTTTGACTAGAGAGTGTAATTTTGTAGTTTTATATAGCACTGTAAGTGTGCAGAAAAGCTTAGACAAAAGTCCTGCTAAGGAAATTCTTACATATTCTTTGTCTCTATCCCTTTGCTAAATAAAGATAACTTTTCACTAGGATTTTTTTTTTTAAGTGAAAGAACTTTTTTAAAGGGTCTCTGCGTAGTTTAAACTTCCATGAATATAGAAGGGTCCAAGTGAATTAAGTAGATTTCTACATATTTTATTATGTGGATAATTGGAAAGGAAACAGCATCTTCACGTTTTTTATGACATACAAGAACTTTACTGGAATTGCGAGCTCCGACTGCTTCCTTGGGTGCTGCTGGAAATCTTGTCCCAGTGAATGTGGTCTGCTTTGTCACCCAGAGTTACACAGGGAGCTAGGGTAAGACCGTCAGTTTAGTTTTCAGTTTAGCTGCATCAGTGAGAAACAAATACTGTCTGAATCGTGATTACCTTCTGCAGATTGCAGGTACCTATTTGTCAAAGGATGGTATAGTTTTTGATACCTTTATAAGGATGTAGCCCAATTTTTTTTCTTTCCAGGAAAGGGGAAGTTAACTTTCAAATAATTGTTTTTCTCAACTCAGAAATGCCCAGTGTGATTTTGAAAACTGTAGCTGTTAACTCAGAATGCAGTTGTCTGTTCATATGAAGCAGCTGAATCACTTTGGCATAGCTGTCTACAGATGTATGCTTTGGAAGAGTTTTTTGAAGAGGAAAAAAAAATAAATTTCCATTTGACATATAAGGTACAGCCACCTCTCTCCTCCGTTTGGCACACCTATGCTGTTCTCTGTTATAATGTAAAAATAGTGTAACAATGCATCTTAAGCTGGTCTTTATGTTCAGAGCATGTGATCTATTTTTAGGAGACAGTAAGTAAACATGATATTGAAATTCTCAGCTGAATTTCCGTAGCGATTTCAGTAAGACTGAATTTATAGAAATGTTACAAACATTTTTTTTTAAATCTGCACAAGCATATTCAAATCTTAATTTCATTGCTAAATACACCTGTTACACTTAAAATTTGCTTTACTGGCATTCTGCTTTTCCATATATAAATTTCAGTCCAAAATATGCTCCTCCTTGGTAGATGTGTTCTGTGCCAGATATATTGAAATTTAATAGACATCTAAAACTCATTGTGGAGAATTATTTTTCAAAGATGAATGAAAACATGCTTCAAGCTCAAGTATTCTAACAGAGGCATATTGAACACAAAAATTGAACTAGAACTTTCAAAATAACTTGTATGATATCCAGTTGAAAATAATTAAAAGCTCTCTTTGCCCGTTGAGCTAGATACTGGTTCAAGGAGTTTGTTCCCTTTCTCAGTGAACACTCTGTAGTTCTCTTTCTCTCTAAATTCAGCCCTGCATGCCCTATATTAATATTTTAGACTTAGAGACTCTTGAAACTGGCTTCTGCTGACATTTTTCTGGCAAATATCCTCTCTAGTTATTCTGCTTTCTGCAGAGTACAAGACAATGTATTTCCT